ATGAACAGACTGGATAGAGTAGCCAGGGAGAAGCTGTTCCCACTCTCAAAAGAAACAAGAAAAGAGGGCATAGATTTAAAGTGATCTGCACAGGAAGCAATGGTGATGAGGGGAAAACATTTTCAATCAGTAGTTGGGCTAAGACTGCACTGCCTGCAAATTTAGTGGAGGCAGGTTCAATAGTAGCATTGGAGTATTTGGAAAATGATCATGTACAAGATTATGGGGAAAAATACAGGAGATTACCTGGTGCCAATGATGCAAGCATAATGAAGCTGAATGGCCTACTTCTGCACTGTGACTTTTTAGTGATATTACCTAGTGATTGTGCCCTGTCTCTGATCTGTGATGTTGCGCAATGATCCTGTCTCTGATCCATGATGTTGCCCAGTGATCCTGTCCTGTGTATGTTCACTCCTGTAGTGGCCAGGCTGAGAAGAATGCCAACTTTGAAGCACTGCCAGAAGACTGGAGAGAAAGACTGAAGAGGAGAAAAATGGCTTCAAGTTCTTAATGTTTTGAGGGTTTTTTTTTTTTTACTGTTTGTGTAAACTATTTTTCTACATTTCTACAAGAACTGTTTATTTGTGTAAATCAATGTGACTGAGATATTGGGTCTGTGAACAGCTTGGTGCATGAGCAGTAGATTTAGTGGTCTGTATCCAGCGAACATTTTTTTTAAAGATTTGAGCTACAAATGAATTCACGTACTAAAGTGATTGCAACCGTGCTGTGAGCTAATCCATATTTGCAGGTTCATATCTGTGCTGTACATTTGTATATAACATCAATAAAACCATTTTTTTAAACAATGGTCTGGATTTCTTTGTTCCAACTCTGGGTGCATGATATGTACCAAAGGCATGTCTCATGATCTTTCTGTTAATCCACAGGCCAAACTCGGTAACTGTCCACTCCCGACTGTCTGCGATCTGAGGTGTGGTTTATATATCACCATCTCCGATCCGGGTGCAGTTTATTTATCACTGTGCCCTCCCTGGGGTGCAATTATATCTAAGTAACCCTGTCAGTGTGTGGTTTATATGCCACTGTCCTCACTCAGGATGGGATTTATATATCATGAGATATGGTTTGTAAATCTCTGATACTGCTCTGGAGTGCGGTTTAGCTGTTGACCACCCCAACTCAAGAGTACGGCTTGTTTATAACTCTGCCTACTTGGGTTGTGATGTCTAGATCACTGTCCGTGCTTGGCTTATAGTTTGTTTATCCTTCTCCCTGCTCAGGGTGTGGTTTATATATCACTGTCCCCACTTGGGGTGAGGTTTAAATAGCCCTGCCCCTGCTCGGGATATGACTTCTTTATCAGTATCTTAGTTTGGGGTACAGTTTATATATCACACACTCCCTGCTCGTGTGTTTCATATATCACTGTTCTCACTCTGGGGAATGTGATTTATGTTTCAGTGCCTGCACCCCCTGCAGAATATGGTTTATATATCACTGTGCAACTCATGGTCTGGTTTATATATATCGGTATTCCTGCTTGGGGTGTGGTTTATATATATCACTGTCCCCACTGAGGGGTGTGGTTTAGATAGCACTGCCTCTGCTCGAGGTGCAGTTTATATACCTGCACTCAGGGTGCAGCTTATTTATCACTCAGCTCGGGTGCAGTTTACATACTACACTCCTGGCTCAGTGTGCGTCATATATCTCTCACTCTGGGATGTGGTTTATGTTTCACTGCCCCTAACCCTCAGAATGTGGTTTATATATCACCACCCTACTCAGGTTTGGTTTTTATATCGCAGCCCTCTATTCGGGATGTGTTTTTTTTTTAGTCACTTGTGGGGCATTGCTGGCTGGCCAGCATCTTTATATTGCCCATCCCTGGTTGCCCTTGAGAAGATGGTGAATTGCCTTCTTGAACTGCTGTAGTCCACATGCTGTAGCTTTCCTCACAATGCCCTTAGGGAGATGGTGAGCGGCTTGTAGGGGAACTTGCAGAGGGTTGTGTTCCCACGTATCTGCTGCCCCTTGTCCTTCTAAATGGAAGTGGTTGTGGGTTTGGAAGGCACTGTTCAAAGATCTTTGGTGAAAATCTGCAACACATCTTGTCGACAGTACACACTGCTGCTACTGAGCGTCAATGGTGGAGGGCAGGCAAGTCAGGAATATTCAATCACACTCCTGACTGGTTTACGTGGTGAGTCCAGTTGGGTTTCTGGTCAGTTTTGCTAAAGGTCCTTAATGCCACACTCAGTCAAATGCAGGTTTGATGTCAAGGGCTGTTACTCTCCCCTTCCCCTCTTTAATTCAGCTCTTTTAAACCAAGGCTGTAGTGAGGTCAGGAGCTGAGTGGTCCTGCCAGACCCCAAACTGGGTGTCATGAGCAGGTTATTGCTGAGCAAATGCTGCTTAATAGCCCTGTTGATCAGACCTTCCATCATATTACGGATGATTTTGGGTAGAATGATGGGCGATAATTGATTGGGTTGGTTTTGTCCTGCAGTAGGGCTGCTGCCAAGCTACTCAGTGATGAACATTGAAAACCCCCACTCAGAGTAGATTTTGTGTCCTTGTCCCCCTCAGCACTTCCCCCAAGTGTTGCTCAACATGGAGGAGTACTCATTCATCCGTCAAGGGAGAACGGTACATGGTAACCAACAGGAGGTTTCCTTGCCCATGTTTAACCCATCACCATGAGATTTCATGTGGTCCACAGTCAATATTGAGAACTCTCGGGCAACTCTCTCCTGACTGTACACCACTGTGCTGGGTTTGATGGTGGAACAGGACATATCCAGGAATGGTGATGGAGGTGTTTGGGACATAGCCACACACCTGGAATCATATGTTACAAACAATGACAGGCTGTTGCTTGACTAGTCTGTGAGACAGCTTACTCAACTTTGGCACTGGCACAGCACCCCCCACCCAACTCCACCCCCCCACCCCCCGACTGGTAAAAATGAGGGCTTTGCAGAGTCAATAGGGCTGTTTCTGCCATTGTCTTTTCTGGTGCCTAGCTCAATGCCAAGGGGTCTATCCAGTTTGGTTTCTTTGTGGAGACTTTGTAGCATGTGATGCATTTGAGTGGCTTGTTCGGCCATTTCAGAGGGCAGTGTCAACCACATTACTGTGGGTCTGGAGTCATATGTAGGCCAGACCAGGTGAGGTTGCAGATTTCCTTCCCTGAAGAACATTAGTGAGCCCGATTGGGTTTTTCTGACAATTGACAATAGTTTCATGGTTATCAGTAGATTCTTGATTCCAGGTACTTTATATTGAATTCAAATTCCACCATCTACCATGGTAGGATTTGAAACCGGGTCCCCAGAACATTAGCTGATCTCAGGGTGTGGTTTACATACTGCTGTTGCTGCTCGGGTGGTGTGGTTTATATAGCGATGTCACAGCTTGGGATATGGCTTATGCATATGCCACCGACCCTATTTGGTGTATGCTTTACAGATCAGTACTCTCACTCTTGGATGTAGTTTATGTCTAACTGTTTGCCCTCAGAGTGTGGTTATATTATCACTGTCCCTGCTCAGAGTGTGATTTATTGTATTGCTGTCCTTACCCTGTGCTGTGGTTTATATTTCACTGTTCCTGGTCAGGGTTGTCTGGGTTATATATTTTTGTCCCACTCAGGGTGTCCTTTTATATATCATTGTTCTCAATCTTCAATACGGTTTGTATCTCTTTGAACGCTCAGATGTGGTTTATATATCACTGCCCTGATCAATGTGTTGGTTATGCATCACTGTCCCCACTAAGGGTATGGTGTATATATCACTGTATCTGCTTGGGGTGTGGTTTATATATCACAGTCCACACTCTGGGGAGAGGTTTGTTGTCCAGGATGGGGTGCCCCTCGGACCCTGCAGACCCCTCTAGCAGTATAAGCAATATTAATTTACCCAAGTACCTTTGCATGTATCAGGGAAGTGTGACAGCACCAGCTATTGTAAGTGAAGTAGGTCACAACTTTGTTCGTAGGCAACAAAGATAAGAATCAAACTTTTCAAACTTTAACAACTCATAACCATTTGATTGTTTAGAAACTAGAACACTTCCCAGATACCTGTAGTTTTCTCTCGTTCATTGAACTCTTTGGCTCTTTCTCGGTATTCCCAGCATATTTTGCTTCTTGGCCAAAATGATTTTATTTTACTTGAGCACTTGCAGCCTGCTACAGGTTTATATATCACTGTTTACACTCGGCGTGCATATCAGTGTCCACGCTCATGGTGTGGTTTATATATCACTGTCCCTGCTTGGGGTACGGTTTATATATCACTGTCTTGGCCTGTGGTGCAGTTTATATATCGCTGTCCCTGCATGGGGTACGGTTTATATATCACTCTCCCGGCCTGCAGTGCAGTTTATATATCACTGTCCCTGCTTGTGGTGCAGCTTATACATATCATGTCCCACTGAGAGGTGTGGTTTATATATCCCGGTCTGCACTTGAGGTACGGTTTACATATATCCCCGTGCCTGCTGAGGGTGTGATTTATATATCACTGTCTGTGTTGATGGGGTATGGTTTATATATAACTGTGCCTGGTCTTGGGTGTGTTTTATACAGTCAAATCAGGATGTGGCTTATATATATATATGTTCTCACTCTAGGATGTGTTTTTCTTTTCCTAACTGTGCCCCCTCAGGGTGCAGTTTAAATATCGCTGTCCCTGCTCTGGGTGTGTTTATGTATCACCGTGCCTGCTCCGGGTGTGATTTATATATCACTGTCCTCGCTCAGGAGTGTAATTTATAGATCGTGTAACTATTCAGGTGTACTTTATATATCAGCATCCCTGTTGATATACAATGATCGTCCCTTTGGATGTGTAGTTTAAAAAATGGCTGCTCCTGATCAGGGCAGTGGTTTATTTCTCAGCCTTTGCTTGGGTGCGAGTTATATTGTGATTTTACAGGAGCTCCTCAGTTTTTGAAGCTGCTTGTTGCATGTTTTTGTTGTAGAGGTTGCCAGGAGACCATCCTGGCAAGTCTCAGCTCAAGCTACAGAATGTCGGGGGAGAGAGAGAGAGAGAGCTTATTGAGTCAGAGTGAAATAGAGAGAATCTGAGCAATTGACTGGGAGAGTTGGACAGAGTTAGGGAAGGTGACAGAGTGCAGTTGGAGGCAACTAAGTTGAGAGCGAGAGGGCCTGAACGAGAGATATAGAGCAAGAAACTGTGTGAAAAAGTGAGACAGAGATATTGAGTGGAAGTGATGGTTTGGATAGTGAAGTGATACTGTTGATATGAGAGACAGAGAAAAGTAGTTGAAAACTGAAAAAGAGAAAGACAGTGTATGTGAAACCAAGGGAAGTGGAAGTAAGATAGAGAGAGAAAGGAGACTAGTAGAGATGCTGGAGAGAGAGTATCCGATATCTTGAGTTGTAACACAAGTGATTGGGACTGGATCAGCTGACTGACGAACAACTACCGCCTTGAAGCAAACTGGAAAGACAAAAGCTGATATACAACAAGTGCCAAGTAACCCAGAGGAAGAGACAGCAGCTGGGCCTGCTGCAGAAGCAGTGACAACTGGAACAGGTACAGAAGTGTATTGAGGGCTAAAGATAACATGAAACATACTGGGGAGAGATTGACCGAGGAATCTGAAAGACTGGGACAGAACAGCTTTGATTTTAACCATTCACCTGAATGCCAGGTAACAGGCAAAGTTTTGTCAGGTTGTGGGCATTGCTGACTAATTTCAGCATTTATTGTCCATCCTTCATTGCCCTGAAGAAGTTGGCAAGCTGCCTTCTTAAACCGCTGCAGTCCTTGGGGTGTGCACACACCCGGTGTTGTAAGGGAGGGAATTCCAGGATTTTGACCCAGTGACAGTGAAGGAACAGTGATATGTTTCCAAGCCAGGATCATCAGTGTCTTGGAGGGGCACCTGCAGGTAGTGGGCAGAGATTGCTGGCAGAAGAGGTCAAGAGAGGGATAGACCAAGGGGAGAAAAGATCAAAAGGTAGAAGAATGAAAAAAGGGAGCGATTGAAAGGGTGAAGGATAAAGAAGGAAGAAATGGAAGATGTGGGAAAGAGAATGCTGTATTTTCATTGCTGCAAGCATGATTAGCTCATTCAGGTTTAGCTCCTCTCTTTATAGAGTCTGGGGCCTGTCAGGTTATCTGTGTTAAAGGATAGGCCACTGCTGAGTCTAAACACAAGAGAACATGTCTTAGAATCAAAGTCTTGCAGGATAGTGATATGTACAGTTTGGGCATAATGACCAATGACTCTGGGGACTGAACACAATATGCCTGCTCCCTTCAGGTAGTCGTGTGGAACTCAATTGTCTTGATCCAAATCTGAGCGATATCATCAGATTGGATGACAATGCAGAAGCATTTCTTTACACAACATCTCAATGACGAGGCCTTCTTCCTCAATGTTCACCATTACATATGAATGTATATAACTATATTACATTTACTTATACACATCACTTTACACCATCTTCCCAGAACCTTTTCATCTTTGGAAGAATCTCCATGGGAGATCTTCTCCATTGAAGACTATTAAAGTCAGTAGATTAATTCTCCAACAGATGTATGGTAGACTGGTTAGCAAGGTAAGATCACATGGAATACAGGCAAAAGCTAGCCATTTGGATATAAAATTGGCTCAAAGATAGGAGACAGAGGGTGGTAGTGGAGGGTTGCTTTTCAGACTGGAGGCCTGTGACCAGCACTTTACCACAAGGCTCGATGCTGGGTCCACTGCTTTTTGTCATGTATATAAATGATTTGGATGTGAATATAGGAGGTATGATTAGTAAGCTTGCAGATGACACCAAAATTGGAGGTGGAGTGGACAGTGAAGAAGGTTATCTCAGAGTACAATAGGACCTTGATCAAATGGTCAAATGGGCTGAGGAGTAGCAGATGGAGTTTAATTTAGATAAATGTGAGGTGCTGCATTTTGGTAAGGCAAATCAGGGCAAGACTTATACACTTATGGTAAGGTCCTGGGGAGTGTTGCTGGACACAGACCTTGGGGTGAAAGATCATAGTTCCTTGATAGTGGAGTTGCAGGCAGATAAGGTGGTGAAGAAGGCGTTTGGTATGCTTGCCTTTATTAGTCAATGCATTGAATATAGGAACTGAAAGTACTGCAGATGCTGTAAATCAGAAACACAAACAGAAGTTGCTGGAAAAGCTCAGCAGGTCTGGCAGCATCTGTGGAGAAGAAGCAGAGTTAACATTTTGTGACATGGGTAACCCTTCTTCAGAACTAGTGGTAGCCAGGAAACAGTGGTATTTAATCTGAAGTCAGGGGGTGGGTGTTGGGGATAAAGGAGTAAGTGATAGGTGGAGAAGGAGCCCAAAGAGAGAGGAAGACAGCTGGGCAGACAATGTGATGGATAATGGTAAGCAAGGAAGAAAGAACAACTGCTAATAGGGAACATAAATAAGTGAAAATGGGTTGGCTGTGCTGAAAGCAGCCCACATGATGACAGAGCCTGGAGTGTGTAAGGGACCTGGAAGAAGATGTTCAGACTCTAAAATTATTGAACTCAATATTGAGTCCTTAAGGCTGCAGGGTCCCCAAGTGGAAAATCAGATGCTGTTCTTCCAGCTTGTGTTGAGTCTCAGGGGAGAACCACAGCAGGCCTGAGACAGAAATGTTGGCCAATGGACACATTGGTGTGTTGAAGTGAGAAATAACTGGAAGCTTGGGGTCATTTTTGCAGACAGGGTATAGAACAACTGCAACCAGCCTGTGTTTCATTTCCCCAGTGTAAAGGACACCACATGGTGAGCAGCCAACCATAGCAAACTAGACTGAGTGATGTGTAGGTAGATCACTGCTTGACCCGGATGGTGTGTCTGGAGCCTCAGATAGCAAGGAGGAAGGAAGTAAACAGGCAGGCATTACACCTTCTGCAGTTGCATGGGAAGGTGCTGTGTGGGTATGGGGAGGTCTTGGGAGTGGATAAGCAGTGGACCAAAGTGTCCCTGAAGGAACAGTCCCTGTGGAATCCTGATAAGGGAAAGGAGGGGAATGTGTGTCTGGTGGTGGCATCCCGCTGAAGGTGACAGAAATGGCAGCTCACCATCCTTTGGGTGCGCATCTGGTGAGGTGAAAACTGAGGACCAGGGCATTCTATCAGTTTTGTGGGAGGGAAAGGGAAGGGGTGAGGGCAGAAGTGCAAAAAATGTGTCAGACACAGCTGAGGGACCCGTCTGGTGGCAGGAATCTGATTGAGGAAAAAGGTGAATATCTCGGAGGACCCCCCACCCCGCAACAACACCACCCCAGCCACAGAAGGTAGCATCATCAAAACAGATGCATCGGAAGCAGAAAATCTGGGAGAACGGAATGAAATCTTTACAGGAAGCAGGGTGTGAGAATGTGTAATCCTGGTAACTATGGGAGTCAGTGGTTTGTGATGGAAAATCGGTGGCCAGCCTATCCCCAGAAACGGAAACAGAGATGTCGAGGAAGGGAAGGGAGGAGTCAGAGGTGAACCAGGAGAAGATGAAAGAAGGATGGAAATTGAAAGTGAAGTTGATACATTTTCCCAATTCCGAAAGAGAAACGGAAACAGCACTGATGATGTCATCAATGTACCAGAGAAAAGAGTTGTGAGCCCAAGTAGTACTGGAGCAAGGAATGTTCCTCGTACCTCGCAAAGAGACAGGCTTCACTGCATGTAACCATGGTTGCAGCTTTGATCTGAAGAAAGTGAGAGGAGTTAAAGGAGAATTTATTTATAGTGAAGACAAAATAGAGCAGGTAACGGAGAGTGGTGGTGGCTGGGGTTTCTGGCCTTTTTTTTCCAGGAAAAAGCGGACAATCCTGAGACCATCTTGATGGAGGATGGATGTGTAAAGGGATTGTGTCCATGGTGAAGAGGAGGCACTGGAGCCCGTGAACTGGAAATTCTGAAACTGACATAAAGCATCATATTCTTTAATCCAGGTTCCAATCAACTGGACAATATTCTGATTTTTACAATCTTCAGCCAATTCAATTCACTACACTGGAGTTGGAGGCACTGGAAACTGCAAAAGCTATGAGCCCTGACAATATTCTGACAATAGTACTGAAGACTTGTTCTCCAGAACTTGCCACTCCCTAGCCAAGCTGTTCCAGTACAGTTATAACACTGGTATCTACCCAGCAATGTGGAAAATTGTCTTAGCATGTCCAGTCCACAAAAAGCAGGACAAATCCAACCTGGCCGATTACCGCCCCATCAATCTCCTCTCAATCATCAGTGAAGTGATGGAAGGTGTCATCAATAGTGCTATCAAGCAGCATCGGCTCAGCAATAACCTGCTCGGTGATGCCCAGTTTGGGTTCTGCCAGGGCCACTTAGCTCCTGACCTCTTTACAGCCATAGTTCAAACATGGAAAAAACGAGCTGAATTCCAGAGGTGAAATGAGGGAGGCAGAGATTATCTCTCCAGTTATCATGCTAAGATGATGGTTTTTAATTATGATTATGGTCCCAGAAACAACAAAAAAATGACAATTGGTGTGTGTTTAACTTCATGAAACAAAGCAGTGAAATTTAAGATCCATCCAGAAATCAAAGTGGAATATTTGACAACACTGGTAAGGAGAACCCTCTTTACCAAACAGAGAGTAGATTCTGACTATTCCTTCTGGATGAAGAATCCAGATTGCATTTATAACACCATTTGGATGCTGTTGTTTTAACAGATTACTTTTTGGGATTGCATCTGCTGTAGAAACATTTCTGATAATAATGTCTAACACATGAGAAGCTGTCAACAGTGTAATGAGTGAGAAAATGGCTAAGTCCCTTTATGCTAAGGAATGGCATCCACTTTCAGTAACATGCTCTGAAGTTCAGACACATTTGGAACTAGGACTGAATCTGCTTGGTTTCAGGCATGTTTGCCTCTATCTAAACCTGCTCGTTGTGTATACAGTTGACAAGAAAGGTCCTGTTCAAGTATAATCTGCCATATTGACGACAGACTGCTTTGTGAATGCACAAAACAGGAACATGACCACAGGCATAAAACAGCCTTCACAGTCCTCCCCAATGCAACCTGAGCACTTAAAGTCATAAAATCATCCAATTTCGGTAGCATCCATGTAAATCTTCTTTGCACCCTTTCCAATTTAATAGCATCCTTCCTATAGCAGGGCAACCAGAATTATACATAGTACTCCAAATGTGACCTTATCAATGTCTTGTACGGCCCTAGCATGATGTCCCAACTCCTTTACTCATTCTATGACTGATGAAGGCAATTGTGCCAAACGTCGCCTTCACCACCCTGTCTATAAGTGGCGCCACTTCCAAGGAGATATGAATCTGCACCTGGTCGAGGTCAAAGAACCCATTTGAGGTGGAGTTGAGGCAGGTTGAACAATGGTGATGGAAACTGGGCCAATAAATTGCTTCAAATAATACCAGGCAACTTCTAATCACTTTAGAAGTTAAAGCACACAGTGATTATATTTACCAAGCAAAGTAGAGGCTGATTAGAATTAATATTGAAAGAATTGAAAGAATTAATATTGAAGCTGTATTAAGATCCATCCAATCTGATGAATC